TTTTTAATGAAAATGAAGTAAATATTAAGTTAACTAGTTAATTTAAAATCGCTCACCGAACCATATTAGCTTTCTGTAGAATTATGAGTATCTAATTATGTCTCAGGTGAATTTCCAAAGAAGATATTGTTTTAACAAATTGTATAACAATACAATGCCAAAGTTTGGAATGTTTACTTGATACATTTAGCTCTCGCATATACAAATAAATTACAATTCATTGTAATAATTCTTCGTAAATAGGTACTCATGTGTACAGTATATCAATGTGTACCAATCTTTCAAATGTCTTCAATACATTTTCGACTCTGTTACAAAACGATACAACACGTAATCTATTAAGGATTTTCACTGATATATGTATATGTGAATAATACTAAAAGTCGAAATTCAATTCCGCATACAAATAAAATTTTGCTTTCTGTACTGAGGTCCTATTAGTGTCATGTGAAACACGTGCGGTCGTAAGATGCAGTACGTAAGGACTGCAACATTGTGCGCAGGCGCGGATAGCCCGTGTCGTCTTTAGCACCATACATTTGACCTCAGTTGACTCTTATAGTGCCCGCGCCGCATAACAGGCCTGTACTACTATATCACTACTCTGAGATCATAGATTCCTTAAAGAAAATCATTGCACACCCAATTCGGTAGCACTATTTAATATTTCATACATTTTTTTCTTCTAATCACTCACAACAAACGTGACGACTGATAAGATATAGAATATTCTACAGATTTTAAAAAGGTCTACTCTGTCTGAATGGCAGGGGACATCCATATTGTCAAGTGATAATGCGTCTAACCCATCTCAACCTTGAAGAACTCGTTATGCTAAAACATAATAATATCATGACCGAAAATAAAACTTAAGCCATTCAAAGATCGATATTGAGAAATTTGAAATTAACCACTAATGTCATACTAGATGAGTTTTATAATTGTTTGAAATAACAAATCTGGTTGTTGTAGTAAAAATACTAAGTTGACACGTTGAGGAAATCTAGAATTGAGAAAAACAGGCAATACCTATTGTGTGTGAATTATGACATAATAATAATATGTTAATTCAATATTTTTAGTGAATCAATTAATTTTATGAAAAACAACTATCTACGTAGTAAACTTTCCCAGCGTGTGTCACGAATTTGTTACAACCAAATTCGATAAAGCTATATAATTACTCATTTCTGTATAAATACCAAAATTGAAAATGGTAGATTGTAACAATCTTTTCCGTATATTTGAGAACACATTGTGTATGTTTGTATCAACGATTTTACAATAATTCTACTATTTAAAAGAACGACGTAACTATTTGCTCTTGTGTGAATTGTATATGCACTACTTTATACTAATTTCGTCCAAGTTTAAAAATAAATTAATGTTTTTTATAATAGGTCGACAGATAACATTGATAATACTGTGCACAAACTTTGACATTTAACTTTAGCACATTACCGTTGCAAATGATATGCTAAATTTTTCCTCAGGTGTTGTATTTTCTGAATCTGTTTGGCTTATTTAGAGAACAATAAAATAAATTGTTTATTAACGTTTCCTTCGTCGTACTGATCTTAATTTTTTCAAGGATTCTTTGCTTGAAAAACGTGTAGGTAATGTTATCCGTTCATTAATTTATTCACATAACAATGTTCTCCTTATTTTAAGAAGACTGCTTACTAAGAAGTCAGAATTTCATTTAGAAAAGCTATCTACGAAAGTTCAACGTACATATAATTTACTGGTTCCAATTTGTAAACTTACTAAATACAAATAGGAAAACTACATATATAACAAAGTGTTGTAACTCAACGTGCTCAATACTTGTGCTCTAATTCATACGGTAATCTGTATCAACAATAGCAAGTACGAACGGTATCATATAATGACGAAAACATGTACCGTACGCAGGGACAGGTTGGTTCCGTACACTGTACAATATACAGGGGGAGACATAAACGAAGTTGTTTCAAAAACCACTACCACATACATCTATCTCTAAAGCTAAAATAAATACCCGTAAAGTGAGCCCAAACAAGGTAGTAAAATCATAGTATAATCATCAAGGTAATGAAAATAAGATTTCTGATTTGATCGATACGACGTGAGAATTGCAATTTTATCGTTTACTTACTCTTGTTTAACAGAGTTACTTCTCTATCCCTTGCTTTCTAATTATGTAACGGGCAAACGAAACCGTATCGTAGCGTTTCGACGGCCTTAATAGTTTTAATTGTGAAACCATGAGACTTTATCATTTATTTAAATTATGTGGTTGAATCGAACGGTGGCTTGAGTCTACAGGACCGGTTCGCGCACAAATGAGTATGGCACACACACACTCGCCTGCCCGCTGTTGCTACACAGCCGAGGTCCAAACCTGCCTCCTAAGAACCTGCGTGGATCTGTCTTGCTGAGACAAAGCCTGTGAAGGGCTTCTAACTACTTCACGTCACCGAGTTGACACCAAACGCTCGACACCGAAATAATTGTTTTAAACTTAACTGTTACATTATGACAGAATTATGACTTCCATTAAAACAAACAAACAAATCGTTATTCCTTGTAAAGTTACATCGGTACAAAACGGTGTATAATTACCCATTGTTCAGAATAATAATGTCGGTAAATACACAAGTATATTGTAGGCACAATTAATTAGCCTGCGTAAAAGAGGAGGCGTCAATGTGACTACCGAAGCGTGGACGTGAAGGCCTTCTGGTCTCCATGCTCTGGTGCCCACCAATCCTACCCCAGCATTCCGTCACTCACAATTACATACGAGTTATGTTAACATTTCACAACTTAAAATTGTAAATAATAAAATACTTAAATGTTTAATTTAAACTATTTTTTAAAAAGAAACTGGTTATAAGGAAACTCTTTTGTTAATTGCGTTTATCTGAAACAGAGAAACAATCATTACTATACGCAAGTTTAATAAACTGAATAATTTATTTTAGCGTAAAACAAACTTTTCCTTAAGTGTCGTAATGAAATTGCTAAACAGGACTCAAACTTTAAATTTTACACACAACCAAAATGTTTGGATTTTATAATTATAATATTTTACCGCGTATGGCCACGCTATAGTCACTGTATATTGCGGAAAAAACTAAAAAAAAATCGCTCTAATTAACTGTACAGTTGTTTCCAAGTGACCAGTAGTAACTTTAGCATCTGTTATTATTAATTAAGAACAGAACTTAGGTAACTGTCTTCTACGGTAGGTGATCAAACTGCTCATATCATAATCTACTAGGGGCTTTTTGAAACCATTTGATTTTGTCTGTACCAAATTCTTATTATCTAAATTTCGTCCTCATTACTTCAACTACTCAGCCGAGAAGATTAAATCGTAAGTTTTCTATTTTTCTATTTCCACTTCTTCGAAACATATTAGATCTTCCTAAGACTACTAAAATTAGAAAATGTAAAACAACCCTTACTGCCTTTATGAGTGTCCTATCAACTTGATCATGAATGAGACGTAAATCTTTAATTGTACATACATACCAACCTGCAATTAAAGATTTTATTACATACTACATAACCTAATTACACTAACCTACATGGACAAACAATGGCACTCCTGGGACTTAACTGAAACAAATATGTATTTTTCCTTCCTAGATATTTATAGTATGACCTAGGATGAATCTGTGATACACTATATGTTACCAAGTCTCTGTATTCATTGTTTATATGAGAATGTAAGCGCTACGTGACCATAATATCTGGTTTATAATTAAGACCTTTAATGGCGCGTGGTTATTTCTATGTAGATACGCATGTATTAAGTATTTAAAATGTACAAATTGCTTTGACTTTCTCCTCTATGTATTTGATGTTCAATTGTAGTGTAATAGGAAATATTCAACGAAAAAATTACTGAATTGATAAGCTTACAAAATTAAAGTCAGTCTGTCATACCGGATTTTTTAACTAAAACGTTCAGGAGTGTATTGTATGTTTGATACTTATTTGCCAGATTAATAAATATTTACTAATAGCAGTTTCGGTAGAAATATTAATATACGAAGGTAACATAGCTAACTAAAATTAGGTAGGTACTACTTAGGTCTTTCAGGAAAATATACTTAAATACCTATCTACCTACGTGAAGTCGGGTTACAATGACGTTCATTGATGCGTGTACCATTAATTAAAAGTTATGTTTGTTAATGTTCGGTATACAGTAATTTACGTACATTGTTTTAAATATTTCATAAGGTTTCAGATACCCTAAAGACTGGAGGCAATTTCAGTAAATCTAGGAGAGATACTCTCAATTGACGGTCTGGATAGGTGCTTTTCTTAGTTCTATGTTCTCTGTTTATTGTTTAGGATAAGTTATATGCATTGAAAACTCAAAATGCTATCATAATAAAAGCCATCTCGTTGAACATGTAGCAGATTCATATCCAGCATTACTTACATGTTGTATTTGCCATAAAGATCTAACAAGAGACGTCATCTTTTACAATAATAATCAAACTGTTAATAAAAACATAACATTCACTTGTAGGCACACTTGCACGTGTTTCTAAGTACAATTTATACCGTTCTTTGCAGTAAAAAAAGCGTTGAGATGATTGCAGTAGATAATAATCATAATACCTACGCATCCCAATGTCTTGGAGAAAGATGAGAAATTATAGCGTGTTTCATCATTATCATCATCAGCTACAGCCCGTGAGTCTATTGCTAGACTATGGGGCTCCGCTAAAAAGAAGGGCTTCGATACCATAACCTTCATGCAAGCAGGTTGGAGAAAGCAATTTAATATGATTAGGTTTATCAGAGAATACTGTTGTCCGGTCTCTGTAAGATGATAATAATATGTAGTCCTTTAGTCAACTCTTAGGATAACCACGAAGACTAGACGTGATGAGCAAAATATATTCTACGGTATGCTGTGATACTGACGAATTCACCTCCAATGATTTCAATGACGTCTAAAACCAGTTGATACTACACACATCCATATAATTCCAATGATATCATGCACATGTCGTGTGCAGCGGGCATTCCAGAACACGATACTACCAAAACTAGCCAAGACACTAATTATCTTATTGTGGAAACCCTCGTGTCGTGGAACGGACCTCGTTTTGACTGTGCTGACAGTGCGTGGGCGTCGATTAATTACAACAGGCCCCTTATTATTTCATTGGGAAGTTTTATATTACATTTCAAAACAGTTTGTGGTTCATTTACATATGTAGGTAAATCTCCTTCTTCTTCGTTTAAAAATATGCGCTGCCCCACACTAGGATTTCCTTCTGCGTTGTGATACAGGCAGTTTGCACATTAGTGCAGTGTAGATAACTGTCTACATTTATATGTTGGTCTGGGAATTGCAAAAATGAATTCTAGAGGGTTAGGAGAAAAGTACCAACTTCCTAACGAAATCTAGTCGCAGTAATAAGATAGGGGGAAACATTATTTAACATTTGCCTGCCTCGTTGGCCGAGTGGTCGCAAGTGCGACTGCCGGGCAAGGGGTCTCGGGTTCGATTCCCGGGTCAGGCAAAGTATTATTCGGTTTTTAAAAAAAATCAGTAATAGCACGGAGTCTGGAAATGTGCCCGGTAGGTATATGGCAATAGGCTCACCCCCTATTACATGGGACTCATAACATAAATAGTGAAAAGTGGGTGTTACATTGTACAGTGGCATATTCTCTGCCTACCCCTTCGGGGATAAAAGGCGTGATGTTATGTTATGTTATTTATCATTTCCCAGAATTAGAAAGGTTAGAGTTAACTAACGTTAGAAATCCGAGGAAAAACATATGGGGCAAGTTGGACTCTAACAGGACTAATAAGGACTTGGTGACTGACTGATATGCCTACTTCATTAAAAAAAAATAGTCTAATAATTAAATGTAAACCATTAATTATTTATAGTCCTCATTTTCCTGTTGTGCTTGTACTCCATTGAAACTGTATTCTGTATTTACGTCTAGTAGTGTCCTGTTCAGAAACCTATACTTCCTGTAACTGACACATATCTCAGTAGGTACGTCATATCAAGTCTCTTTGATAACCTGACCAAAAACGGCACCACTCGTTGGATATTTAAACCTGTCTTCTAAGAGGCGATAGCAGTGCGTGGACCCTCGATCCCTAAACGGCAAAACGTATCAGTGCTATACGCAGATTACGGCTCCTGCCCTCCTTATCAAAGAGTGTTATCATCTTGAGAAACTGAATCAATTCTGACCATTGACATCCAGACTGGCCTCAAACATCAGTCTTTTCGAGAATTACTTTTATGACAGAAAAATTAAATATTTTCTCCAAAACTGGATTAAGAAGGAGTTCCTAACGATTAGGAGTTGCGTGATGTTTGAATCTTTAAACTGACGTGGTAGTTAGCGACTGGCAATTTTCACTGTCTGTGATTTAATTGGAACAAGGTAATAATTTACATACTTGTATAAATAACTTGTGTATTATCAATACGGCTGGACATTGGATCTTCTCAGAATTTGCGCACATAGTTATACTTTATACGTAATGTTCATATAACGTGTTTAGTTGTAGTGCAGCTAGATGGACTTTATATTCAACACAATACGATGATATGTCTTAACGTTTGTTTTGTTTTGTTCCTTGAATATATTATTTATTTTAAATAATTGATACCTACGATGAAATTAGTAACAAGAATAATGGATTGACGTCTTATTATTATTGATATGGTTAGTGTCTCTGTCTAATAATAATGTTCTTTAACGCAATTTGCCTTATAGGTTAATCGAGTCAGGCTATGCAAACAGACTTATAATATGGAATGGACGTATCTGCATTAGCTATCTGCACTGATAGATGAGGTTCTCTAGCTCTTTGGGTTTATAAAGACGAAATAATTCGGTAACATTGTTTAGATAAACAGCATAAGTAGATCTCTAAATAAACTAAGCTTATTTACCCAGTTTCATGCTTTTGGCACTTACATACTGTAGTTACGTGTAGGTACGTACATGTACCTAACTACCTAAATAGCGTCATTTAGGTTTAAGGAGATAAGCATTTTACTAATTACCTCAACTGATATAAGTATGAAGTATGTGCATGGTGTCCAAAGTACCTAATGTGTATTTTGTTAGTGCTCCGTAAATATAGTAAACAATGTAATGATTATGTTGGTGTTGACATACGTAGGTCATCGCACGTCGTGCAGCAGTTGAGCGCGCTGGGGCGGCGGCAGCGGCGGCTCGCAGTCGCCGGCGGCTGCCAGGTCGCGGGGCTCACAACTCAGCCGCGAGGCGCGGGCGCAGATCGAAAGTTCGACGCGAGATCGAGCGCGCATATGTAAATATCGGCACATTTACAAGCGAAAGGGTTCACCAGAGCGGCGCACTAACGCAGCGTTGCGCGGGAACCAGTCCGGTGAGATTCCTACGGCGTCCGATAGAAAAATGTCGAATGAGCTTTGGGTCCATCACTCGGTACGGGTGTGTGGTACGTAACGCGGCCGCCGCTCGACTGCCGCCCTCCTCTCACCGCCACTGCTGGTATATTTATCGCTTAATTATTGAACTCGTCTGTGTAACAATTATGAAGCAGCTCGCCGAGTGGCAGGCTCGCAGCGCTGGCGGAGGGCGCGCGGCGCTACCGCGTCTGCGCTGGCGCGTTGCGTCACAACCTCACAGCGCTGCCGCGCCACCGGCGCACGCGCAGCCTTCAGATTTTATCTCAACAGTCGACAGCCAATCCGCTGCTCACCTGCTATATCATTTAAAACATTAACCTCCAACTTACATCATTTAGCGATATCTTCCTGTCTTCTGTTTCCGCGGTATATTCATCTCAATGTATGAGTAAATAATGCACTAACATAATTATAAACAAACACTTATCAAGAATATTTAATCATATACCACGCACCTGACGAACTATATGTATAAACATAAGACCTCAGAAAATAAATAATAATAAGTATAATCTACTTATCTCTTACAAACATAATTACATAACATCTTAGTAAGTAGGTAAGTACCTAAGTATTTTGAAATCAATGTCTAAGTGCGGTGTCCAAAACTCCGACTCGAAGAGCAAGAGTAGGAACGGGGTGGTTTTTAGTCAGTAAGATTCTGACACTCCCTTTCGCCTAACCCAAGGCGGGAGAAGTCAATGGATGATTTTCCCCCCTTAAGAAAAAAAAGTGCTAGTAACTAAGTAGTTACAAGATAGGTTTGCGTGTAATTAGGTCCAAATTAACCATCAATTTCTATCTAGGTATTTAACAAAATCATGAATAACGATAACGATAAACCTCGTGTATTGGCATTAAGTGTCATAATGTGCACCTCTGCCCAACCCTTAGAGAATAAAAGGCGTGATGTTATGTTATTTTGTTATATTATGATTAACGATGAGTTTCCAGTGTCTTCGGAGTTTCAGTTGTAAGAAAATGTTTAACCTCATAGTCCCATTTAGTTTACTCAAGGATCGAATTCAGTTCCATGCCCCAAAATTTGATTATTTGTCTAGATGGAGTGTCAGTGCACGAAAAGTGGCCCAAAAGTTTGCAGTGAACTGTTCACTGCAATGCATTTTCCCGTCAAGTAGGTAGTACCAATCGTGACACCTTTTTTTTAAGGGGGGAAAATCTTCGAATTACTGCTGGTGAGGCGGGAGGGAGGACTCTTACTGGCTAAAACGCACCCCGTTCCTTCTCCTGCACGTCGAGCCTGGGTGGTGGCCGAGTATAAAGTGTAAGGTATTCGACTTGTCGACCGATTTCAACTTTCTCGACTTTTGGAAAAATATTTCTTATCGCGGAGTTAGAAATTGTACCCGTTATAAGGCAATAGACTCATCTCCTATGCATAGAACTATAGAACTCATAACATAACAGGTGAAAAGTCGAGTATTATTACATCGCAATTTAGAACTTCTTACTAAATAATTATTTTGTAAACTACGATAAAAAAAACCATTTCAGCAACCCCTTTCTTTAAATCGGTTAATTAATAATTATACTAAACTTCCTACTCATAAATGTAACAAAGAATTTTCTGAAAACCGGTCTATGTAGTCGCGAGATAATCAAGCACAAACATACAGGTCAAACTGAAAACTTCCTTTTTTGTCGGTCGATCAAGAATACACCGTTTTCACCGTGGCAGTGATTTTTCGTCAAACTATGTTTATGTAAGGTAATCTAGAATATCATCGCCGACAATTTATAATCTACCAGTTGACACTGTCACTGTCTTGTCACTTATGTCACTGTCATTTGTTATTGTCTAATTTAAAATTTCATCGAGCAAGTTCAGGGTCGTTTCCAAAAAAAATGTAGAAGTTTAACAAAGAAAATAATAATTTTGCATACTTTATAGTGCGTAAATTCTAAAATAGATAACTAGATGTGTTTCTACTACTATTCCGTTTATTCCACAATAATTTAAAATGTATAGCAGAACCAAAATATAGTAAGTTCTATCAAAAAGCAACCTCTACTCATTGTTTTTGTTAATAATTTATCAAAAAACTACTAATAGTGCCGGTTTATGTTAATATTTTGTTATTGAAAAGGTGTTCGCAATAATAATTACATAAATATTTCAGTTGTGGGTGTACCAGCGGCCTGGTATGCAGATTTTTAAGTTCTGCAGAAGTGTCTACTGCTCTACGACCATTTTACTTCAGCGTTCATCCAGATCTATTTGGAAAATATCCAGAACAAAGGGTATGTTCTAAAATATTCAAATTACGAACAAGTATCTATATGGTTCATGTAGACTAGAGCATGTGTCAGTAAAATCTACATTTTAATATTTCATAATCAATTTCAGTATCTAAATAATATGAGATTGAAGAGAATTAAATAATATGAGAGAATGAGATAATAATACAGTTTTTTTAAGGCTGGAGATAATTGAATTTTGAAACTTATAAAGCCATTATACAAAATCTTGGTTTAAAATATCAAACAAGTGCCTATTCAGGTACCTTTTAAATTAATTGATATTGGTTTATTTATATTTCTAGAAAATCAATGAAAATTCCTTACAACAGCTGAGTGCACTTATAGAAGCCCAACAATCTAGCAAAAGAATTTCAGTTCCACCATTATCATTCTATGTGAGACAAAAGGATAAACCCGATGGTAAACAAAATATTTTTTTTAAATTTAAATAACATTTTACAGGCATGAAATTATATTACAACTTTGATAACAATAAAAAATGGTGATTAATTTTGAATTATATTTTTATTGTTATTTCTTTTTTCCAGGTGAATTCAAACTCATAAAAATTCAATTAAATAGCAATAACGTAAGAGAAACAGTTGTAAAAGTTCTCAACGCCTGTGATATCTCTACCAAGTACATTGATAAGATACCTGATAGGCCAAAAGTATCTAACTTCAGGTTAGTATCCACTAGATTGCTTGTTCAAAATTTCTGTTATCTAATCATTTGACTAGGTAAACACTTGAATAGATTTCGAACAAAATTTCTGATCAATAACATGTGAATCTAAGATATTTTTGCTTAGCAACATCCTGTATATAATACTGTTTGTCACTCACACATATGTATGTGTGTTTTGATTACAGCAAAACCTTTGGTAATAGAAAGTATGACTATGCATATGAACAATACGAAAAGGAATTTGACATGGGTCGGATCAAGAGGAAAGTAGTAGAGAAAAAATTCAGTGCTAATGTTGTGTATGTATTATATGCCTTGTTTTTATATTATTAAGGTTCAAGATATAAATATATTTGTTTATAATTTGTTCCAATATTACAGTGAATGGGTACATGCAAACAGCAGAGATGCAAAAAATAAATACGAATCAGCAGCTGCAACAAGGGAGCAAGTGCAATCTCTAATAAACAACCTTTGCAAAACTTATGGTATTAAACAAGTTGGTATAATATAAACATTGAATAATCATGCATACTCATTGCCATTGCTTTTAAAGCTTGTTGAGTAAATATATGACTAATTGCCAAGCTACTATCATCATTTTAATCAAATTACTTATGAAAGATGATCCAAGACTATGAAAAATGAATGTTATATGGATTTAGGTGAAATTCGACAGTGGTTGGAATATGAGCCATATAAGAGGCGCATTGCAGAGTTTAGACGCCCTGGCTTCACAGCATCCTAATATTATGACGAATTTAGAAGGTTAGTATTCAATGATGTCCTTACATAATTCATACAAAAATAACATTATGTTGTTTCTAAAATCTCGTCATTTTGGCTGTGCTCCAATTGTTGTAAGATATGCAGATTTAGTATTTACAATGAAAAGTTGCCATTGTAAAATATTTAATAAATTCTTTTTTTTTCTATTCAGGCAGGACAATAGCTTTGGGACAGTTTACTGGGGTCAGTCTAGATGGCGATGTGTTCCTCAATATTATGGATGTACGAAATGAATGGATGTCGGTGAGCAAAGATACATAGTTATTAATTTCATTTTATTTTGTAAGATTGACATTAGTAATTATTTTTTTTAACATTATTTTACAGTTAATAAAGAAAGTTAGTCAAGAGGACAGTGCCTTAATAATGATACCAAATTATGAGAAAGCATTGTCTAGTATTTTGAGGGATATACACATACGGCGAAGGTAAGAATTATATTCAACACGAAATTCAGAAAATATTCCTAATGGAACTGTATGTTACAATCAAAGTTTGTTCTATTTTAGGAAATTTATGCCGAAAGTGTCGGCACATCAGTACTGCAGTCATTTGAGACAGTTGATCACTTCCATAGGCGACTACTATGGTCGTGGTTCAAAATTCCCGCCGAGCGTACCTGAATCTCTGCAAAAATACGAAATTGTTATTGAACCGTAAGTCCGCTACTTTGTTTACTCACTAATAACTAGTCCTCGAATTTTATGGAAAGTATAAATAAAATGTTATATCTTCAAATTGCAAATATTATTCCAGGGAAGCGGGTCCACTAATGGTATCGCCTACTGGACAGTTCATCACACCATCTTCTTGTCCAGCTGAAGAGCTTGTGGCTTTCATTGCCAGTCATTTAGATGAAGCTACGCTTTTGATGACAGAATATAGCATGTAAGTTGTACACCAAATATTTCTATATAAGACTGCGAGTCATAAATGCTATATAACACTGTTACCAATTTTTCCCCCATAAAATTGCCAACTTGAAATTAAAATAAATTAGAACATAAACTATAGAACCACTTTATTCTTGTTCCAGTAATAAGCATGTGGAGAAGGCACTTCATAAAGAAGTTGTTAAAAGGTTTGGTCTACTGGACCTACGAAAGGATGACAGCATCACACCAGCATATATGATTTCATGCTGCCAGAGGTTGCTGACGCGAAGTGAACAGTTAAATGCGGTAAACATTTTTGAATTTTTTCCTTGTTATCTTTTATAACAATGCTGCTCTATATTTATAGTATGGTTGCAAGCGCGACTGCCAAGCATTAGATCTCCCGATTCAATAAAACTATTTGTATGTTTACTTGTTTCAGAAACTTCATGGTACAGTGCTCTTCATAACGCATTACTACTCTGTTTTATCGGAAGGAATATTGTGCATACCCTGGAATTTTCAATCATGAGTTACGTCGTCTAGTGTAAATATGTTGTAGATAAAATAAAACTTAGATCAATCAATTTATTTTTATATATTTTTCATTTAGAATATGTACACATCTAATCTCGTATCTTGAAATGCTCGAATTTAGTTGAATGTATAGAAAAGGAATATATTTTTATACACTCTAGTGAGTAGAATAGAATTGGCAAAAGTATATACAAATAATGCAAATTCGAATAAAAGTGTTTGTATTTACACATTGCAAATTGCGAAAATGTGATGTTATGTAATGTAGTTTAGTGAAAGTAGAATAGAAATAGAATGCATAATACAAACTATGGCTACATGGTTACTTCAATAAACAATATTAGATATCTTATAAAGATGAATAATAAACTTGAATTGATAACTGCAAATAAAAGTATGTACAAATATCAGTGCTTTTTATTTTGTTGTACTATGATTAGCTTGTTTTTCTCCTTCGTCACCTTGGCCACTGGTAGGTTTGTTGCTGGCATCAGCTGTCGGAGGTTTTGACTAGGTATTTGTGGCGGCTGAAAATCAGACAAAAAGATAATGTCAGTCAACTATAAGAGTTGGTTTAGATTCGTAAGCCTTTCAAAACTAGGGCTGGGATATTTACTAAAATAAAATAGGCGATTTCTTTAAAATTGCTACATAATGCTTACTGCTGGACACCGCGCAAGCTGCTGCTTCATACGATCGACCAATCTCATGGCATCATCAGATGTCTCTGAATCAGTAGTGATGCCCAAAGACAGGGCCCTTTCTGCATTACCTCCGTCCAGGCATCTATGTATGGACTGGAAGTGTCTGTAACAAATATAACACATATAAGAGTTTATTATAATCTTAACTAAAGCAATCTCTAAATAAAAGTAAGTTAACTGAAATATTTTATTATAATAAAAGGCTAAAAGGAACCTGTTGTAAATAAACATTTTAGATGAGTTACAATATCATGTTTAGTATACTTTGCTTTGGTTCAAAAATGCAGGATGACTAAGATTGATCAACTTTGCTCACTTGACCTTTAGCTATTACAATCACATGACATTAGTATTTTCTTTTTGTGTGTTTACCTGGAGTGGGCGTGTGGTCTCAATCGTTGGGCATGCCTCCAAGCTGCAGCAGCGCGTGCGCGCCATATTGCGGCCTCTTCGCTAGCAGAAGCTACGCCAGCCTCCAACGCCGCGCACGCTCCTCGCAGATCCACCACCTGATAATATGTATATAATGTATATAAAACATAAAAAGCAAAAGTAACTTTTAAGCTTGAAATATCGAATACAACTACTAATATGAGATAGAGTTGGAACACGATGGAGTTTAGAATAACGTTTCATTAATAACTAACAAAAATTGTTTAGTGTCGTATCCTTTTGCTGAACCAACAGGAAAGTTGCAGTTTACTAAGCATTTATTTACTTTCAGAGTTACCCCAACATCCATCGTCATTAAAATTCTTAAGATATTGATCACTATATGTAGTTGAGTAACTATTAGGTATCTACAACCTAAATAAGATTCACGTTCACACACTGATTGCGATAAAATTGTAAAATAGGGTGATAAGGTAACACCTGTGCCAAAGAGTCTGAATTGTCATTATTGGTTTTAACAGTGGCGTTATTTAATTAATAGCTAATTGGATTGTGAGTGAATAATGATAAGAGTGATAGATTTAGACATTTTTTTTATGGCATAAGCCGGTAAATGAGCAGACGGATCACCTGATGGTAAGCAATCGGCGTCGCCCATGGACACCTGGAACACCAGAGGCGTTACAAGTGCGTCACCGGCTTTTTGAGGATTAGGAGTTTGAGGATCGTTGGGGATTGGGGAAATTGGGGAATGGGAAGGTAATTGGGCCTCCGGTAACCTCACTCACACGACGAAACACAACGCAAGCGTTGCTTCACGTCGGTTTTCTGTGAGGCCGTGGTATCACTCCGGTCGAACCGGCCCACTCGTGCCGAAGCATGGCTCTCCCACACTTTTCTCCCACACATTTGTGTAAAGATACATTAAATGTAAAATTACCTTTTGGAAGTACCTATAAAGCAGTGTTTTCATTTCATCGTGCGATAGTTTGTCAAGCCGCGCCATCAACATTTGTTCCCCTCTACTCCTAGAGTCCTTGTTATCTTGAGAATCTGATAGAGAAGCTGATGGTGATTTGCCGCAAATTAAATTATTTTTGTATTCTATTGCCGTGTCTATTGCTTCTATCGCTTCTTCACATTCCAGGAGTTTGCGTTCCTGAAATGGTAATTATAAGTAGATTATTGGTTGGTTACAAGACAATAATGTCTTGTAATCAACTTTGAATAATAATTCAAAGTTGCTTCTTGGTTTAATGGTTGCAAGTCACAAGCTGGGGCAACTAAGTGACATTTAGTTACTCAGTGGTCTAGGCTTAATTGCAATCAGATCCTTGATTGAATTTTATATTTTAATTATAGAGTGATTAATAATGTATGGAAATCAAGGGACTTTATGCTTACCTCAGAATCTGACAGAGATTTGTACATTTTTCTCTTATGGCCTAAACTGCATCTCTGTTCATGCAAACATTCCCTTGTCTTCCTCAGGTTTTTAATTTCTTTCCTTAATAATAATTCCTTTTCTTTGGACATCTCTAAAGTCTCCAAATCATTAGTCTTTTCTTTCAAAATACTGTCTAATTGAGTAATTCTATGTGTAAAATGTTTTAGTGAGTGTGTTTTCCTGTCCTTAACATCTACTGAAGTATCTGAGAGGTCATCAAGCTTCAACTTGTCTTTAACAAGCTCTACATCTAATGTATTTTTATGTTTTTCATCTTTCTTTATTTGTCTTTTGATTTGCTCAATTTGCTTTTTATAAGTTTTGAGGTTGGTCTCATGCCTCTTTATCTCTCTCATTGTGTCTTGGTCAATCAAACTACTCTCTATTTTATCAGAATAATGCTTGTTTTGTGTGTGACTTATTGATTTAGACAAGTCACTTATCAGTCTCTCTTTGGCTATACACAGATTTATCAGTTCTTTTAGCTGTGACTGGCTGCTTCCTATTTCTTTTGAAAGCTTTCTTGCCAGTATTTGCTTTTGAGTATATTTTTCTTTTGTCATTTTATACTTCTTGCATATTTCATCAGTCTTTGGGGTATCAATCATTTTGAGTAATTCTCTCTCAATTAACTTTGGTTCTGGGTCAACATCCTTTTTGTGAGATTCTATAAGTATCTTTTGAGATTCAGGTGAGATTGCTTTAGCTGCAACTTTTCTCAGTAACTCTAACTCAGCTCCAGACAGACTTTCACCAGGTTGTATAGTCCTTCTGCGCCCAGAATTTGATTGAGATGTCATCACAGGCAAAGACTGTGATCCGCTTAATTCTGATATTGTGATATCATCAGAGTCAATGTGGTTCAAGTATTCCTCGCATCTGTCTGCAAACAGTTGGTCATTCTTTTCTCTAAAATACTCCATAAATTTCTCAAGTTTGTCCTGAAATACTGTGTCAGAATGAGTATCTTCCTCTGAATCTGAGTCCACATCTGATTCACTGGGTTCACTAGGCTCCGTGTCTTCAGCAATCCTAGGCAGACCTTGTTTTATATTTGCATCTTTATTATCTACACCAGCATCACCATTCAAACATTCATCACATTCAGCTTTTAAGAACAACCATTCACTGACTTGATTAATATCTGCTTCAGACAAGGACTTTGACTGAAGAATTTTGTTAAAAAGCCCCTCTGCATTTGAGACAAGCTTAATCCACTGGGTTGTGGCAAATTGTAAATTAAAATTATTGTCTGCATGTGGTAACACTGATTTTTCTGTATACACAGGAGTGTTATTGTCAGCAAATAGGTTGACAGTAACAAAATTCTTGATGCCTCTGCAGCACAAACAAAGGTTTAAAGTTTTCAGTGTGTCCTGATAGTCTTCTGGTTCTGCACTTATACAGCCAATAACCCAAGTGAAAGCTCTGCCACCAAAGGAGTCTCTAAGCATTGCTGTGAGAATGCATTGATCATAGTTTATTTGTTTTGGTGGGTTGCCTGCTAGAAGTTCTTTAATGATGTTCTCCAGGGCAAATAGACCTGGTTCTGGGTAGGCAGCAAGATCACAGAAGCTTGCAGTAGACATTCTATGATTTAATACACCATTGGTGCTGACCCATTTCTGTTCAACACTAACTGTGAACACGGTGTGGTTGTTTCCTTGACACCTCTGCCGCCATCCCAACTGTAAATACTGGAATGCCTCTTCAACATTGCAGCACCTCACTAACCCTGCTCCCAGTACATCAAATATGTTATTATTAACTACTTGCATCCAAGTTATGTGTAGTATAAATTCTCTCTCTGGCATCTGATTGAGCTTATGGAATATTTCAGATAAAAAGCGAGGCACAATTCCCTGGTCACATTCACTGTGGATACATTCAAATCCTGAAACAATATAAAGTTTTGTTTATAAGGTTTGTTTCTGCAATTATAATATGTAGTTAAAAAAAGAACAAAATCATCGACATATCAGTACTTAATAATATATAGCTTAATTGCATAACAGTTCTTTCATACTAAAAGACAGAGAATGTTTGACCATTATTGAAAAGCATGCTATATCCATTCATTTGAGACCGATAATAAACAAAACACATTCTGTTTTATAACAATGGCAACTAACCTGGTCCAAATAATGTGTAAGTTTTGCCTGTCTTAGCCTGACCAAATACAACGACTGAAGTATCACAACCATCCAAGAAACAGTTGATCTGTGGTATCATGAACGAGTTGAAGAGGTTTGCCTGAGTGCAATCCACTGGCAAAGCACGGTTCACATGAAATGTCTGTCCACTCTCAGTGATTACAATTTGTGTAACAGGATTGCTAAATATGCACTGCGATGAGTCCTCCAAATTTGGAGGCTTTAGCCTTACGGCTATTTGCACAGGGATATCCATTTTACCTTATTATTTACGAAAACTTTAGAAACCTTTCACTCCAACTTTGATAAGGTATATGGTTACCATTTATTTCATAATTACATCATTTAGATTGATCAATTATGTTCCGCACCACTTAAGCTTTATTAATAGAGATCCTATTGATTTTAATATAATAATAGTCCCACAATATAAACCTTTATTTCATGAAAACTCAAAACTGACAGAGAGAGACAGATGTAGTCACAAACTTGACAGCAGCGCGATATTTTTTTTATAAGTAGCAACCCACTCTTCGAAAAGCTGGGTATGATAAATTAATTAAGCAATTATACTTTAACTAAAAACAGACATTCTTGTAGACTTATCACATCTATTCAATCAATTAATAAAGTTTTGCATTAATCCAACCAGTTAATAACTTCTTGCTTTCATATTATATAAGTCGCTCTAACATAATTATGGCAACTTTTACTATTGGCATTTGTTTTTCAGTGCTGCAAGCGTCAATTTTTTTGTCAAAATAGTAGTATTACAGAAAATATACAATAACGTTGGAATGTTTTTGACGCCTTTAAATAATAAATAATGCTTAGAAAAATCAACACCATAATTTTGAGAGCCACATGGTTGAGAGTTAGTTGAACAAAGTGTAAGGATTTAAGGTTGATACAAATCGAATTTCATTGATAACAATTAATTGGCTATGTGCAAAGCGAGTAGTGGCGGACAGATAACGACCGCAGCGCACAACACGGCAGAAATTGGAAACAAATGGGGTTGATCAGCTGTCAAATGTATTGATTGCAGTACAAAATCAAAGCAAAGAAATGGACCAGGGCTCGTATTAAGTAGCTTTGGCCGTTAAGTCGCAGTTCTTCCACATTTCATAAGCTCGGCTAACACTAATTTATTGTCTTTTGTCTCAGTTTGTGGTTGAAAACTAATACTGTCCCTATGCCCCTTTGTATGCTTAAATCTTTGAAACTACGCAACGGATTTTGATGTGGTTGTTTTAATAGATAGAGTGATTCTTAACTCGTCGAGTACCGGTTTTATAGACACAATTAAAGAACAATAGGTCGCGGTCACCGGTGACCGCTTGGTGTTTGACAGTTTAAGGAAGGTTTATGTGTATAATACATTCATAATAATATAGTAGAGAAACACTAACACAAACGCTGGCTGTACCTTACAAGCTAGACCAAAATAATGTACTACAACAGTATTGACCACCTTAAAAAGTTTAACAAAAATGCCCGCGCTGGTATATGTCTACCTATTAGGGCCAACATACCATAACCATTTTTTATCCTTTACTATCAATGGTTATTTACGAAGTGATTTTAAACAATACAGCATTAATCCTTATCCAATTAAGTACTTTAAATAAATTGTGCATTTATCATAGATCAATATGCTTTTTACAGCATGTAATTTAAGTGAATATTTCTGAAGATATTATAAACTAGCTTTTACCCGCGGCTTCGCTCGCGTCGCAAAAGGATAAAAAGCCAATATTATTATGACATATACCAATACACACAGTGCCATCTATACCAATACTTTTGTTTTCCCTCGGGAATGTCAAATTTTTCCGGGATAAAAAGTACCCTATTATTTAATCCGGACTTCTAACTATACATCTGCAAAATTCATAGCAATTGGTTTAGTACTTACGGCGTGAAAGTGCAACAAACAAACAAACAAACTCACTTTCCGATTTATAATGTTATTAGTAAGGAAAGTATTTAAAATGTAGGGACGTATTTGTTGCGGCGTTGATGGCCGCGCTTCGTCTTAAAGCACTTCATGACTTGCAACGATCGCACGCGTTTATCGGAGCTCTCTAGCGAGGAAAATATCAATATAAAATATGTTTGTATTGTCTAATGACAAAATAACTGTGAACGTGGTGTATAAGGACATTTTTAGTAGGTATTTTTACATAAGTATTGCACCTGTGCGAAACCGGGGCGAGTCGCTAGTGTGTGATAGTTTCAAACCCGGTTTTTATTATTACATACAGTAAAACTATTGAATAAATGGCACTTAAATAATGTCAACAATACTATTTTAATTTTTGGTTTTATTTATATTTGCAAAGAAAATGATAGTGTTTACATTGTTATTATTTGACAGCTTCCGCAAATGTTGTAAACACTACGCACCGCCACCGTCGTGCACATAGCCAATAATTGCCCTAATCTGTCACGGTTAGATTAATCAATAATCCATTTAGTACAATACAGTAGATACATTTTGTTTGGTGCATAAAGCTGACTGTGGTGGCTAAAAAATTCAAAAATAATTGACGTAAATATATCGAGTATAGTATGTCACACTACTCAGTACTGTAATTATATAAATACCTCCAAAAATGAAGAAGGTATTTCATTTGAATAATATAAATAAACACAACCGGTTAAACTGATTTTTAGTGATTTTGGTAGAAATTTTGAAAAACCTCTTTCAGCACCTAAAGATGTGTCAGTGTCAATCAGTATAGTCAGTCAACTGGGTCAAGTGACTTTTCGGATTCACATTCATTATTTCTTTCATTGGGATTTGTAGATTTCGTGGTGGCAGAGATGCATTCTCTTGTCACTGTTTTCGATTTTCAAGTTACAACAAGGATTTGTTGACTGTGAGAAATACAATTTCAAGATTATCAATTATCATCACCTGAAAACAAGTCACAATTTTGTATAATTTTTTATTCAAATTATAGTGATACGTCAAAACAGTAAAATTGTTGTGCTATTGTATTTTTGGGAGAAAAGTTAGAAAATAATGTGCTAGAACGCATCGATTAAAAGACTGTTTAAGGGGATTAGTCTTAAAGACATTCCCGGACTTAGAATATATTTTCGAATTGTTGAACATCATGGAAATGGAGACAGTCGGCGATGTCGGATTAGGCCTCCACGAGCCTCCGAAGTACGGATTAAAATTACCATTGGACCATGAATATCCGATACAAAGCAAACAATTGATTATACCCAATGTGAAGCAAGTTTTTGAAATGGCACCTTTGACTGCCAGGTATTTTTTTTTATATATTTTATTTTATGGATTATCGATAAAGTTCCATAATAACATACATGCACATTAAATTCTTTCGGTTTTATTCCACAATAAGCCATTTGCTTTTGATATGGGACTATGATGTAATTATTTAGGTACTTGAAATTTAAATGGCATGCTGCTAGCAGTTTTAACTGCATGGTAATTTTTTTCAAAACTTCTTAATAATTTTATTGTTTTTAGGTACCTAAAATATTACATTGGTAAAAGGTTTAATAAGAAGAAACCTATTATGGACTATATTCACATGATATCAGCTCAACGTAAATATGGTAAGTTTACATTATGTAAATTATTAGAGTTATAATAACATCATTCACATTTACGAAGTTGTAAATAAAATGGTTTCTAACTTTGAGTTGTGCTTTATCATTCATGCTATTCTTATCTTCAGTATTTGATGGTCTATCAGGCTTATCTAACTTGTCATTTTAAAGTATTTGTGTGTATGGTGACATATTTTACTTGCATTGAGTATTACTCAGCCTATACCCACAAGAATGAATCATAGAAACCAAAGATATTTCAAGTAAACAAGAAGAAAAAATATATAGGAAATATTAGGGAACATATAGAATATATTTATGTAATTCTGATCAAGGCTAGTAAATATCAGCATGTTATCTTATGGTGTTAGTGCATATGTCCGATTTGCACCGGACTATTTTTCTAATCAGCGGTAAATCATTGTACTGCCATTACATGCTTTGCTTATCACAGATAACAAATAAAAAATTTATATAGGTGGGGTTTGAACTCACAGCCTCAAAAATATATGAACAGAAACAAATTCCAGCCTGTAATATGCTTGTTTTAAAAAAAAAATTACCTATTATTTTTAATTTGTCCTTTGTCACCAAAAGAAACAATTATGTTGGTATAAATAACTTTTATTAACTGTAAAATTGATTTTATAATATAGATTTCATAATCTTCTAGCTTATCATCACTTTTGAATCTTATTATAAACATTTAATGTTTCATTGATGGTAAAATCATTCTCATGTTATATTGGCTTAACATGTATACTTGTAGAGATATAGATAAGCTATTTAGGCGAGCAAGTACATTTATATATATAGTACCGATGATATTGATTTGGTTCTTTCATGTTTCATTGTTATAAGATAGGTAGATGAAATTGGTTATGGTTGTGCTAGTTAACTTATTCACCTAGTTAGTATTCACCAAGGCATAGTTACTGTTATCATTTGAAGAAGAACAAGTGCCTTAGATAATTGAGACTAAAATGTATTCGCACCTGTAAACACTTATGTTAATATTACGAATTGTAAAGGGACTGGGTATAACAAACTAACATTCAATCTCATTTGTAAAATATTTCTAATACTGTTATATCAATTATGTATGTAAATAAAATATTAATGTATTGTCCTAGGCTGTCCTATTGGCGGTATTGGTGGTGGGACTATTGGCCGGGGGTTCAAAGGAGAGTTCTGTCGCTTCCAGCTATACCCTGGCATATACGAGTATGTCTCAGTGCCAGAATGCCAGTTCATTGTGAACATACGCAATGGCAACAATGAGACTATTTTCCAGTCCGTTTTGTCTACAAATAAGTAAGTTACTCATACCACCATAATACTAATATAATTTACATGTTTGCATGAGTATACTAGTACTAAAACATCACAGAACTTTTAGTGCAATTGTGTGTCTATAGGTAAATATAGTTTAGTTATTATTTGGTGAATGAATTGCTCATAAATACCTACATGGTATCAAGTTCATGATTCTTTAATCATATCAAAGAATAAATTCTGATAGAGACGGATTTAGCAGGGTAATTACAAAGGCACATGGCACATGCCATTTGTTATATGATAAGTTATCAGGTAGCTACAGCTAGATAGGTGCTGTGAAATTAACAGATTTGTGTGTTGTCTGTATTGCCTATAAGGTAAATCAGTACACTAATTCTATTATGATTTTGATGATGATGACATTCGTCTTTTTAGATTCACAGATATGTTTGCGTCTACAGCTATGTATAATTGTATAAAAACGCGATCGATATAGTGATAAATAACACTATTAATAATAACTGCAATGAGAATCCTTTTTATATTTTGAATAGTTTTCACAAACTACAATATTATCGAATGCAATCTAATAATCGATAAAGAATTTTGTAAATAAAAGCAACATTATGAAAGCTTCCCTACATACCTATTCCGTTATCGCGGCTATCATAGTTAACGACAATTATCTGACCGTAATAATGATTGGTAAGCATGAATAAGATAATAATCGATTCATAAAGGCTCGGCGGAAGTTTTCCTTGTCAGCTGGTACACATTAAGTACAAATATTTACGAGTTAAAATCTTCTACGTGTACTGATATTCTAATAATTGTTCTATTAAGAACAATCCCTCGAACCCACTCGAGAATCGACCCTCCGTCAGGAAGTTTATTGCATTACTATCAAAAGCTCGTGACAGTTTGACAACTGGACTTTGAGCCTTTTCTATTCCAATTAGGTTAACCAGAATCTCCACGATTGGAGCTCTCAGTTTAATTGGTACAGGATTATCAGAGAGTGCTGCTACCTCTGTCAATTTATATAGCCCTGAAGTCAGCTTTTATAATACCAGCGGGATGTACGCATCCTACTGGAAAGAATAGAATAAGGTCAAATAAAGGGTGGTGAGTTTATTCTATTCAGTCGCCATTACGCAGACCATGCATTGCACATAGGTACATTATAAAGTATAATTATAAAATCCTTGTCTTAATACAAATCTTTACAGTTTTGCCTCCTGCATAATGTGTTCTTGTCTCTGTTCGTGTATAACGGTCATAAAGAATTGACAAAAAAAACAATCTGATTGACTCGACTAATGGAAGTCGAGCGAAGTACCTATTAATGAGATTGTCGATATAATGGTAGCGTTCCGCAATAGGTTCGCCTCATATTGAAGGGAGAATGGGGCCTAAAAATTTTGTACCTAAAATGAAAATTAATTCTAGAAACGAACTGCGTGAAATTAGTTATGAAATATTAAATGTGAAATATTATTTAGTAGAAAACTAAAATAAAATATTAATAAACAGACAAGAAAGTACAAAAGACAAGAGACTTTATCGTTAATGGTATCTTTATACATTGTTTATAATTATAATTTTAACTTAGTGATTATCTTTTTAATTCCGCTGGCTAGTCGACTATCGTCCACCTGGACTAATGACGATAACTTGATTAAATTCACCTGCAAAGTGCGGCGATAAGGTTTTATGTTATTTACCGGACCTTAAGCGGTATTTTGGGGTATTCTAAAATGGGAATTTTCCTTTTAGCAAACCAAGGAAGGCTCCACATAGTTGGGAGTGGAACTTGAATGGCGCTGACTGTGAGTACACAGCGCTTTACCCGCGTGCATGGACCACTTATGACCTCACCAAGTATGGAATAAAACTTGTATGCCGACAGATCTCGCCTGTTATACCACATAACTATAAGGTAAATCATTACTTATTAAGTACTTTTGACCTGGCAACATTTCTAGGCTGATGTCAAGGGATTACCTGTTATTTATTGAATCACTAACGTCACTACTTTTCCTTGATACAGTTTTCCTTTTCATCTTTAAAGATAAGGAGGAAATATTTGTTGAAACTGTTGAATTGGAAGTAATTGTTTATATTTTATCATTCATGTTGCGGCTCAAACAATCATGTGTTATCTGAGTCACGTTTATTTTTTCGTTTTCCAGCCTACACGTTTTGGCCATTCTTATTTTCTTTCTTTTGGAAACATGACTATTGCTTTTTTTGCTAAAAATAAATGTTTATTTACCACTCACTCACCACTCACCACTTTCCTAATTGTTCACCTTCTCTTCTTGACCTTATCCTTGTGTCGTCTGACCAGCACGTTGTCAAGCACGGACGATGTTCTGCTGACAACTTTTCCTACCATGATCTTATCTTCCTCTCGTACAAAGTCTGTCCTCCGAAATCTAAACCCAAAACATTCTTTCAGCGCAATTTTGGTGGTATGGATCTTGAGAGGCTTCGTGAGGATGCCGGCGGCATTGACTGGTCTGAACTTTTTGCTGCCGTGGGGACTGATGACAAAATCAGCATGTTTAATAAAAAACTCATTGAACTGTATGACATCCATGCCCCGATACGGCCAGTTAAAATAAAACATGTACCAGCGCCGTGGCTGACAGAAGAGATCAGGGTTGTAATTCACAGGAAAGCAGCTGCGAAATCCAAATTTAAACGCCTACCTAATCCTGTGAACCGCGAGAAGTATGTTGCAGCTCGAAATCGTAGCAACAAGATGTGTAGGGATGCACAACGCCGCCACATTCATCAATCTGTAGAGAATGGCGACGCAGCCAAGATCTGGACATTCCTAAGATCCATGGGAGTTGGGAAACTGCGTCGGGACGGGATTACTAGAAACCTGGACTTTGAATCTCTTAATAAACACTTTTCCTCTTCGCCCAATATTAATGGGTTTATCAAAACTAAAACTTTAAGCTATCTTTCTTCTCTTCCTTCTCCCAACTATTCACAATTTTCCTTTAATCAACTCACAGCTTGTGATGTTAGGAAGAGTATAGTTTCCATTAGTTCCAATGCGGTGGGGAGTGATTGTGTTAGCCGTAAGATGATACTCCCTGTCCTGGACGAAATCCTTCCTGTCATTTGCCATATCCTTAACTATTCCTTATCTAGCTGCATTTTTCCTTCTGCATGGAAGGACGCACAAATCACTCCTCTTCCCAAAAAACCAAACCCAGACTCCTTTTCCGATTACCGTCCTATTTCCATTTTACCCTTCCTCTCTAAAGTCCTGGAACGCCTCATCTATAACCAGCTAAGTGCTTTCCTCACCAAACACAGTCTCCTCAATCCTTACCAATCAGGGTTCCGTCCGGGGCATAGTACCACTACAGCACTTGTCAACATCACAGACGACATACGATCGGGTATCGAAAACGGCAATCTAACTCTGCTTACCTTGCTAGATTTTAGCAATGCATTCAACACCGTTGATTTCGATATCTTACTTGGAATACTGGGCTCTCTTAACATATCGCCGGCTGTGATTGATTTCTTTCGTAGTTACCTGTCTGGCCGCCGGCAGCGTGTTGCCATTGAAGGTTCATACTCTTCCTGGTCTGATACGACTGCTGGCGTACCGCAGGGGGGCGTTCTTTCTCCTCTACTCTTTGCTATTTTTATAAATTCTATCTCTGATGAACTTCTTTCTCCCTACCACTTGTATGCTGACGATCTGCAAATTTACTCTCAGGCACCTCCTGGTGAATTCACCGAGGCGGTAAAAATGGTGAATACCGACTTAGCTCGAATCTCAGAATGGAGCGCGGCTTACGGTTTAAAGGTTAACCCTGCGAAGACCCAGGTCATTGTAGTCGGTAGCCCTCGGTTACGTTGCAAAATTACATGGTCGCAGATTCCACCTATTGTTTTTAACGGTACCATAATACCATACAGCGACTCAGTGAAAGATCTAGGCATTACCATAGATCGAGACTTTTCTTGGGGACCGCAACTGGGGCAGGTCAGCCGGAAAATATTTGCGTCAGCCAAGTCTTTACGTAGACTTCGAAACTTTCTACCAACCGCTACCAAAATTGCGCTTGCTCAATCACTTCTCCTTCCCATTCTTGATTATGCCGACGTCAGCTATCCAGACCTTACTGAAGCGCAGTTAGATAAACTTGAGCGACTCCAAAATTTCTGTATAAGGTTTATATTTGGCTTACGAAAATATGACCACGTTTCCGAATACCGAGCTAAACTCAAGTGGCTGCCGATCCGCCTTCGCCGGAATACTCATATCCTATCCCTTCTCTACAATATACTGTTTAATCCTACTACGCCATATTACCTTAAAGAACGTTTCAAGTTCTACCATGACACACATTTTAGACCAGTACGGTCGTCGGGAGATCTGAGACTTGAGATGCCCCAGCATGAGAGTAAATCCTACGACAAATCGTTTACAGTTCGAGCTATTCGACTGTGGAATGCACTTCCCCCTTCCATAAAACAAGCAAAGTCACTGGTCACGTTCAAGGCACGCGTGAGGGAGCATTATCTCTCCACACTGTAGTTCATTGTTGTTTCTTCACCTAGTGTCACCTATCTGTCATTGTATCTTGTTTCTAAATGTACTTATGTATGTATGTATGTATGTATGTATGTATGTATGTATGTATGTATGTATGTGTGTGTATGTATGTATATAATTCTATATTAAAAGTAAATAAATTTGTTTTTTAATGTTTACTCTTTTACATTATATAAATAAGCACTGAGTACGCCAAGCTATAACTACCTCATTTAATATCCTACTTTATTATTCTATCCACCCAAAGGTTGCCTGGTAGATATCGCTTTTAGCGATAAGGCCGCCTTTGTACCCTATTTTCTTTATTTGTTCCTTGATGTACTGTCTCAAATTGGTGTACAATAAAGATTATTTATTTATTATTATTATTATTATTATTTACAGGACAGTAGCCTACCGTGCGCAGTATTTGTATTCACCGCTATAAATGTTACCAAAGAGAAACGGGATGTTAGTATTAGTTTCACATGGACTGAAGTACTTGGGGGTTCCCATAAAAAGAAGGCTCTTGGTTGGTATTCTGTTTATTTAGCTTATAATCATAACTTTTAGGCCAAAATAAAAATAGTATAATGATAATCGGGTTTATATAACCCTCACGGTCTTTTTTTAATTTAGGGTAACATGAAGCATTTGCTTGGTCTTACTTGTCTTAGTTTTTCTAATTTCTAAATTATAACCGTCGAGACCTATGTCTACCCTCAGTTGCATGAGTCAATCAAGACTTGGTTAACATGGTTTACGTTTTAATCTTTAATTTTTCTTCCAGCCAAACTCGATTTGGAGAGGTATTCCGAGGAATTCACGTGTGGTGTGACCTTGGAACAAAAAATCGCTGACACGCCCTGTACGTTCACTATTGCTAAGAAGAAAGCCGAAAATGAGACTATCCACGAAGGTTACTGTTTGTGGAATGCAGCAAAGACTTCTGAATATGTATGGGAGTGCCTGAAGAAGAATGGTACTCTGTTACCTGATCCGAGCCTTACGCCACCACCACCGAAAGTCCCAGACAGAGAGAAGACTAAAGAAGAAAAAGAGGCAGAGAAAAAAGAAAAACAGAAAAAAATATACAAATGTAATAATAATTATTATATTCTATATTTTATTATCAACCAGATATGATGTGATGATGTCCATTATGTTTTTTTTTCTTTGTTATTTACAGGTGATTCAGTAGCACTTTCAAGTGTGATATCGTTAGAACCGAGAGCAACTGGGTCGACTGAATTCTGTCTCGTCTGGGACATGCCTGTTATAAAATATAAGAAGGATAAGAAAGTTAATAGGAGGTATGTACTACAAAACATAAAAATCTCAAGTAAATGGTAATTTCTACAAATATTTAATTGGTGTTTTTCTTTGATAACAGGTTTTATACCAAGTATTTCGGTAGCGACGGTATAGCCGGTGCAAGCATAGCTGCGTATGCGCTTAGGAATTATAGAAATTGGGAGAAACTACTCGCAGAGTGGCAGGATCCTATTTTGAATAATAGGTAAATAGTATATCAATATTTTTAATATGATCATCTTTCTACCATTATCCCACGTTAAAATACTTCGGATAGGCACAATATGTTTTCTTTTATTCTCCTCTGTGAGACATAATCTTATCCCATCCACGCGCGTCTCAATGAGCCATCAGACCATCACGAATGGGGCCCAATAGGGCTGATGCCGATACGGAGCCGCGGAGAACGTAAAGGGTTATCGGGACTCCGGGTCGAAGTGCAGGAGTAGGAACAGGGTGGTTTTTAGTCAGTAAGAGTCTGACACTCTCTTCCGCCTCACCCAGGCGGGAGAAGTCATTCGAAATTCAAAAATCCCAAATCCATTCTGCAATCATATAAATCCTTAGACAATATAGGTATCTATCTACCTTTTCTTCTACATTACCTTGCATTTCAATCTAAATTCAACCCTCGTTTCGTCACATACTTTTTGCTATAAATTAATAAAATTAATGTAATGTAATTAATTGTTCTTTATTTACAGTAATATACCAGACTGGTTAAAAAGTGCCTTAATGAATGAGCTTTATTATGTCGCTGACGGCGGTACGATATGGTTTGACGTCCATGATGAATACACAGAGAACGATCCTAGGTAATATAAACATTACTCATCAATTATGATAATTAATAGACACCAGTTCAAATTGAGTTTTATGCCTATACTAACCTAATTACAAGACACCAGTAAACTTGAGCTTTATACCCATACTAATTGTATTATCAAAGGTGTCTTGTTAAACTTGTTAATTTTGTTCTAGGCATGAGTTTGGTGTGTTCGGGTATTTAGAAGGTCACGAATACAGAATGTATAACACGTATGATGTACATTTTTATGCTTCATTCGCGATAGCACAACTTTGGCCTAATTTACAAGTGAGTACATTTGTTTACACTTCACTAAAATAGTACAGACTCAAGTCGAACCATGATTGATTGGTTGTATATAATTGCGAGTCCCGAGCAAGAAAGTACAATTAGGTTAATCGGTATTGGAATAGTGGAGATTATTATTCAACTCTTAAATGAAAAACAGGGAACAAGTGAATGTTAATTTTGATTGATATAGAGGTTTTATATATTATGTATACCAGTGCAGGTATAAGGCGTGCTATTTATTACATCAGTTAATTGCATTTAATTTGTACAATTACAGGTAGTATTACAATACATGTATCGTGACACAATAGAATTGGAAACTGAAAAATGTCGACCAAACTTGTACGATGGGAAGTCTGTCAAGTTTAAAATCAAAGAATCCATCCCACACGATCTCGGTGACCCAGGTAAGCTTTTAAATATTATTGGACCTATTGAACTGAACTAATGCACGATTACAATATCCACAGTGACAACCCTGGATGAGTAACGTAAATATTTTACTGAGTATGTAGTTTGTGTAGAATCAAATCTTTTCTTGTTATTATTAATCTTTTAATTTTAGGGTCGCAAGTTTGTTGTATACATTTTGTATCATATTGATTCTTGATAGAAACCTTTTCTATTCTGAAATAACAATAAAAATCTAAAAAACTGCACTAGTTATTAACAATAGAGATTTTAAAACATTAGTAATTTCATCTTTGTTATATCTTCATTTAGCAGGATCGAAATCATCGAAAATACTTTTTATCATCGATTACTTCTTTTTTAACACACTTATTATTACAGAGGATGAACCATTCGCTAATATAAATGCGTACAACGTCCACGACGTGAGCGACTGGAAGGATCTGAACCTCAAGTTCATATTGCAAGTGATCCGGGACTACCGGCTCCTGCGGGGACACAACGCGCCCTTCGGGAACGAAAGGTACCGCAACATGGCGTATATAGACGACGTTAAGGAGGGCACGGAGGACGACCTCTACTCGAGGTCCACGGGACAGACCGACGACTCGGACCGGACCACGGACGAGTCGCCCGACCTCACGGAGCAGTCGACGCCCATCGCGCACGAGGAGAAACCGTACGGCGTGGGCGATATACTCGACCTGTTGTACAGGAGCGCGGAGCCCGACGTGGGCGCGGGCGGCGGCGCGGCCGAGGCCGGCGCGCCCGCCGCCGCGCCCGCCGCCGCCGTGTGGCCGGCGCGCCGCTACCTGGCCGACATGTACCCCGCCGCGCTCGGCCTGCTGCGCGCCGCGCGCCGCTGGGACCACGACCACGACGGACTCATCGAGAACGGCGGCTTCCCCGACCAAACCTTCGACGCCTGGATCATGACCGGACCCAGGTATGCTATACCCACCTCTACTCTTCATTGTTTGTCTTATCATGTGTTTATTCCAACAAACGAGCAGATGAAACAGATCTGGTGATGTACATTTGTATTATAAAACCTCACTACACGCTTTGCACATTGGTGGTGGTTTAGACCATTGAAGTATTGACTTTAATGGAAGGTCTAAACCAGTAATTAGTAGCAAACTGTTCACTTATATTCACTGAGCTTAAGCATATAAACTATTAAATGCTTATTGAAGATGAAGTTTATTTATTAATATCTGTGTGCTACTTTCAGTGCATACTGCGGAGGTCTATGGGTGGCTTCACTAAGTGCAGTTTGCGTGATGGCACGTATCCTTGGGCACGAGGAAGATGAAAAAGAATTCAGTACACTATTGGAACAAGCCAAGCAGTCGTTTGAAGAAAAACTTTGGAATGGCTCATATTACAAGTTTGACTTGAAACCTGCTAATTCTCACGTAGTAATGGCTGATCAGCTGGCTGGACAATGGTAAGTTAAAAATAAAACTATAGATGTAATTAATTAAAACGTATTTCCAATGGATATCATTCTTCTAAACATGTTTGTAAATAATGTTTTTCTTATTCAGGTTCCTTAGATCATCTGGCTGGAGTGAGCAAGTTTTCCCTGAAGAGAATGTGCGCAAGAGTCTCGCTACAATATACGAGAATAATGTGTTGAAGTTCAAGGGAGGCAAGATGGGCGCCGTGAACGGTTGGATAGCTGGGCCGCGCGGTCATATCGACACGCAAGCCATACAGAGCGAGGAAATGTGGACCGGAGTCACCTTCGGACTTGCTGCACTTATGATCTACGAAGGTATGTTTTGATTTAATTTATTATAAAACAAATTCTCTTTGACGTGTTTCCTTGTGCGATAAGCCCTAAAAATTGCTGAACAGATTTTTATGCGGCTTTCCCCAATTAAGGTTCTCGGTTTACTGCGAGTTGAAAAATTGCAGGCCTTAAGCTATCGGTTTTTATACTCCTTGCGGTCCCGATAGGATTCTAAATATAACTTGAATGATTTAATTTTGTGAAATCAGATTAGTAATTATGAGAAAATCAATTGTACTGGTAATTTCCTCAATTAGTCTGTGTGGGTGACAGTAAACAAAAGTTGAATTAAAAAGATAATACACGATAACGAAACCGGATTCAATAATATTTCATTAACAATATTAACCGTGTTTCCACATTGAATTATCTAATCAAGTAAATAGGAAATTATCTAATCCCTTCTGTAAACCTCATCTATACGCCTTTGATAAATGTGTTATAGACCTGTATGTACAAAGCTGTTTCCTTTTCGATTCTTTTATGATTCTAGGAGAGTGCTCGACTAGTTTTTATTGGCTCATATTCACGTCATGATCACGGCAACTTGGCCGACTTTTTTTTGCCAAAGGTCGATGTGAAATATTTGTCGCCGGGTATTATACAGTTGCAATTTCTGATATAACATCTCATATCTCCCGATAGGCCTATCCGATCTAAAAATGTGTAAGGTACATTTGTTTAAAAAATGCGACGTTATCTTCCAGGTATGCACGAGGAGGCATTCGTGACTGCAGGAGGCTTGTACAAGACATTAACAGACATGGGGCTAGCATTTGAAACGCCAGAAGCTCTGTATGCGAATGGAAATCATCGAGCAGTCGGCTACATGCGACCTCTTTCCATCTGGAGCATGTACCAAGCTTTAGTAACTAGACCACCACCTCCACCACCAATGGTCAACGGACAAGCACATCATGCCAAAGACGACGTGCATTTATAGTTTTTTTAAAACTATATCAATCAAAAATAAACTTTTTGGACTTTTGGTATACCGACATGAATTTATTTATGATGTTTCGTAATTCATACGGTTAGATTGGCTAGAAAATACCGCCTAAGTTGTTAAATTATATTCTTATGGAAATTTATGTGAATCGATTTGCTTTCGAACAATGAAATTGTCGAATTGTTACTGCTTCGCAATTATTATACTGCCTTAGTGCCCAGCACGGTATGTTTACACAAAAAAACTGATAAAGAAAACGACGAAACAGTGAAATTACCTTGAAACCGCGATCCAACGAGTTTTGGCATTTATTTATTGAGATAGAAGGCAATACTATTGATAAGTATTTTGTACTTTCTTAATCTATAATAATAGTAATGAATTTTATGTAGAATTGTTGTATTTTATTTTGCCTTAGTGATATTTTGCTTATTTTTAATAACAAAATATAAGGATGCGCATTCATTATGAAAAATCGTACGTTGTATGATTAGTTTCGATAGTATAAATTGTTATTTTTTCCTCAAAGTTTGAGAGTTATGTTGTCTGTCGACTGGAGTGACATTAATTATGTCTTATCATTTTGTGCAATATGCACATATTTCTGCACGTGAATGCGTGTCTCCATGTGATTATTTTAACTAAGCAATTATTTTTCTTCCATTATATTGTTAAACCAATGAAACTGAAGTATTAAGTTAGTTCTGTTGTTCGAATTTTAATATTAATTAGCAAAAATTTTGTGCATTTTATTGTGCTTGTATTTATTTAACAATAGACGAAAAGTTATTTTAAAATTATTATAATTTATTTTCATTTCTTTTAATAATACCTAATTAATTTTTTGTATTTTTCATTTGGTGGCTTACTTATTGTATGCAAAAAGTAGGTGCCAAATTAAAATACTAACAATAATGAAATGTGTTTGCTTTGGGAGTAACATCCTTTCATCCTATTGATTTGGACCGATTTTACCAATGCCAGACAAATTTTAATTAACTTTGAATTGAATACTTGAGAATTCTTCCATATTTAAAAACTGTCAAATGTCAATTTTATTTTACAGTTAGAAACAGTCGACCCTTAGAATCAAACCAAATAATTTGTTACTTGGGAAGTATTTTAATGTCAACTTCTGACTAGTACCTACCTTGTATCATGAGAATATCCGTTGCAATAAATTGATGAATGGTAATTTCATACCCAGGGGGCTTCAAATGGATCAAATGCATTGGTATGTGAAACAACAGGAAGATCTCTTCCTGTGTCGACTCGGTCCTTAAGGCGAGGGAACTATTTTTAGCACATCTAAACTGTTGGCTAACAGTATGGAAGTAAAGAACAAGAAATATAGCATTTTGAATTTATTTTCACAATACATAGTATACATGGTACAATAAATGCATCTTGGACGATAATACAAAAGTATTAATTAAAAATGAACTCAAAAGCAGATCTTTTACCAAGACTTTCATAATATGCCAATATTATGTAAATGCTTAATAATGATAACATAATTTTGGCTAAACTAACTAAACAATGAATATGTTTTGTACTATTTAAAATATTACGTATCTGCTTTTATTCGACAACGACAATAAATAGAAATATTACGTTTAAATGATTAAAAAATATATACAATATTTACATGCATCTTTTCAGTCTTCATACGTTTTAATGGAAATCGAACTATTCAAAATGTTGGTATCAAAATCAAATATTTATCTAAAAATTCATATTTTCTAGTTGCAATTTATAACATTAACAGTGGTTAATGTGAAAAACCTTTACATTATTTGGCACGATCTCTGAATCCAAAATGAGTGGATTAACACAACACCCACGGGAAATAGTGAATTCTATTTCAGAATATCAACATAGTCTCACCGAGTGACCTACACTTTACATTAATGTTTTTCTAAAAAATACACGATTGTCATCATTTGTTGGAATAAAGCTAAATATAATGATTACGTGTGAGTGGCAGATATGTTCATGTACATGTGGGCGCCGTCGCGGTCGTCGCAGCGACTAGTCTGAAGCGATCGGTCGCGCGACCCGAAGTTTAGTCGCAAGTGCGTGCCATTGCGCGTGTCTGCGTCGCAGTCGAGCGTCTCCCGAGACGCTGACGTTTCACGCTCTACTATCGTCGCCATATGCTGATTTCTGTAATATTGGAATTGGGTTAGTAGGATTTACATAATTTGGACGGATAAATCCCTTAAATAGGTACCGTTTTGTACAACTTATTATAATTACATATAAATTATTAACGATAAACATAAATTTTGATATACTACAACCAGGTAGGTATGTCATTCTATTGGTTGTCATTCCTGTTTTTTTTTCAAACAAACCATTTATTGTTCTATATTATAAGAATGAAAATCAACTAAAGTTCATATTTACCTGTTATCATGTTTAGGGTGTCCAAACGTGGTGAACTGCGGACATCCGTTCAGCGGGCGTGGAGGTGGTGGGATCAAGTAGTCGTCCATTCTGTTCTCACCGTCACACGCCGAGTGCATCGTTAACGTGCTGGATGAAATCTACGAAAACAAAATTTCAATATTAATTGATGAAGCTGAAGTTACTTAGCCAACTGAGAAATCTCATTCAGCAGTAAACGTCTTTCGGTTAATGAAGAAGACGGTGAAACCATGGTAAGTAATCTTTAATACCCAATACCGCAAAAAATATTATAACACATGTGCTTGTTTATCTGTATGTCTGTCTGTCTATCTGTGCATCGTAATGTCCAAACAAAAGAATCAATTTTTGAACAAACAATATTTTGTAAGTTAACTTTTCTTACATTAAGCTTGGGGTTTTACAATTTTACTTGTTATACTTACAATAGACCGAGCCTTGTCATCAATCTCAGATTGGACGCTGTTAGTCTCCGCCACGCTGCCTCCACTGACGGTACTTAGGCGCCCAGATGATGATGAACCTGTTCAAAAGATTGATATTTTAATAAATCTAATAAATATTAGGAATTTAGAAAAGACAACACAATGAGTTTCATACTGTATGAGAATAAACTACTTGATAAATTTCTATATTTTATGCTGAACTTACTTTCACTTAGACTGCTATTTGGTCGAGTATTTCCATTTCGTTTTTCAATTGTACCATTGTTGTTTTCATGATGGTGGTCTGGAAAAGTAAAATTTAATGTTAGCAGAGTACAATAACAATAAATTTCAAATTATGCCAAATACCTAAGCACAAAACTTACGTTTGTTTTTGCTCTTGGAAAACATTTTCTTAACCCTCTCAAATGGTGTGGGCCTCTTCATGTTGTCTTTTATTTTCAGTTGGATCCTATCGTACTCCTCCCTCATCTTGTTTAGCTGTTCTTGCTTCTCTTTAAGAGACTGTTGAGTCTCATTCCTGTTCTTCCACTCCATCACCAATTTCTCTACTTCTGATATCGTAAAAACATTATTTTTGAAGTCATTTATTATTTCTGCTAACTCCTCCTGGCCGGTCAAAGGACAACTTTCTTTCCCTGATTTAACACTACCGCTGCTGCGAACGTCTTTGGTATTTAGATTTATTTGGCTTATATCACTAGTAGGAGTGTCGATGTTAAAAGTCTTTGATTCTTCGGTGGGCGAGTACAAGAATATGTCGGATTGTTGCGGCATCAGTCGGGAACTATTCGCGTACAAGTTATTTGGTCTGAACTTAGGGCTTTCTACTTTAATATTGGAAGGTTGAACTAAGTAATCGTGTTCGAGGGCTTGTTGGATTCTGTCCACCGTGTTGTCATGGATGGGGAATTCGTTTTGGTAGAACTGTTCTTTAATTTTCGGGAGTTTGAGATTTGGCCGTTGCTTTTTGTCGAATTCGTCTGACTTTTCGATAGTTTTCTCTAAGTTCTGTGTGCATGCTTCGCTGAATGGATCGGTGGCGTGTTCTTCTCGTACTGGTGAGTCGACAGTGTCACATGTTTCGACAATTCGTAGCTCGTCTTGTTTAGCTTCGTCTTGGCTCTCTTCTTTATCGTTGTCCGACATGTTTTTCAGATAGTAGTACATGTTGGAGAATTCATTTATTTTCTGGAATATAAAGAATAGTGTTATTGATGCTTACTATTACTATATTATAATGAAGTCAATTTTTATAAAAATTAGCTGCCGATGTACTTACAAGATGGTCGGCGAGTACGTCGGCAAGTGCGTAGTGTTTGTGGTCCCGAGCGAGGTCGGCCGGAGTGCGCTGGCGCACGTTGCGCAGTGCGACGGCAGCGCCACCGCCGGGACACTCCAGTAACTGCCAGCATAGGCGCTCCAGACCAAACCTGGCCGCCCAATGCAGCAATGTAGGGTATTCTTCTCCACCTACAAAACCATGTCATAATTAAGTTTCGGAACAATAACTCTAATATCATATTTGTTTTATTGAGACACTTACTCGACATGTCAGCCTTCGGATTGAACTGTTCAGTGGATGCTAAGAGGTTAAAATGTGGCGGTATGTTCTTTTGGAACGCGTTCAGCATCCAACTATCCAATTGCTCTTTGCTTGTTGTTTTGAAACCTAAGGTCTGAGGAAGAAAAGATGACATTTATTAAAAAAAATTAAAACATGAATAGTTTCATTTATAACGTTAATCTTCATTTTTTAGAAGTTTGGTATAGTAATGTTTACTTACTTGGCACATGAATTCCAAGGGGTGATCGGATGCCCTCAACAGTTGATCTAATTCCCGAAGTCTGCTTTCGCACTTAATTTGTCTCCGTCCTAGTGATTGACCATTTTTGCTCACACGCACCCATACGAGCATGGACACTTCTAAGCATGACTCTGCAATACAATCGCAATTTATGTTAAAATGCTTAACTTAGGTATGTAGATCAATAATGTGAATTTGAATAAGGAAATGTATTGCATGGATTGTGTAATCCGCTCTGTTGCTAAGTACATTTATGGGGAAAAAGGTGCGGTTACAAAATACAAATAGGTATATAAAGTTACCTGGAATA